ATAAGGCTGGAGAGAAGGCTCCTGGTTTATTTATCAGTGCCACATGGACTTGGAGAAGAGTTCACTTTGAGCCTGTCTTAGACTCAGAACCCAGTGAGGGCCCATCTGAGAGGCCAGCTAATATTCAAAGGCTGGCAGCGTCTCATGTAGATGACTAGACAGCTTGTCATCCTGGGCCACAGAAGTAACAACTGTGTTTAAGGTTTGGCCAGTCTTCCTATTCTCCATTCTTTCCATCCCATGTTATATGGAATGCATGCAATGACATTTAATTACTTCAATCCCTGTCTTAAAGGAAAAAAGATGCAGGGCCAGTATTCTGAGGTATAGTAATTTAGAGGCTTACTCAGGAATTATTTTTGTACACTTAGTAGCTGTAAAGATCTCTCTAGTATTTTTGAAAAATTTATTTCAAGTACATTTTTGGCAGAGTATCTAAGGGTCTCAACAGGCTGCATAGAATGTGTGCTATAGGTAAGGCCATCCTCCAGGAGACTTTTAACAAATCAAAAAATTTGACAGGGGACCGGGTTGGCTCAGTGGATAGAGCGTCGGCCTGCGGACTGAAAGGTCCCGGGTTCGATTCCGGTCAAGGGCATGTACCTTGGTTGCGGGTACGTCCTTAGTGGGGGGTGTGCAGGAGGCGGCTGGTCGATGATGTTTCTCTCTCATCAACGTTTCTGACTCTCTGTCCCTCTCAATTCCTCTCTGTGTAAAATCAATAAAAAATAAAAAAAAATTGACAGGAACCAGCCCTTGTTTGCACTACAGACTCAGTAAAATGCTCAAGTTCTTTAGGCATGTCAGCTGTTCTTGCTCACAAAATAAATGGTATGCGCCTGTTATTACTGTGCTGCTTAAACATAGACTCGGGGAAGTAGGTATTCTTGCTTTTGCCACTGTTTAATAGTGGACTGAGAAAGAGGCAGTCGATTCATCCTCCTAAGGAAAGTGGCCAGCTGAGGGACTTGTAGGACACACAGGGACTGTCACCTGGCAATGTGGCACAATAGCCACTAGCCACATGTGGCTACTGAGCACTTGAAAAATGAGATGTGCTATATATATATAGCACATGCCTACTTCCTTTGTTTCTCATTCACACCAGCTTGCTAGGATTTCATATAAAAAAGATTATAAAATATCTCATTAATAATTATATCAATTTTATATTTGAAGGTTATTTGGTCAAATAAAACATATTATTAAAATGAATTACACTCATCGTTTAGTTTTTAAAATGTGAGTAAGTGGAATCTTGGTTCTCGAGCTTAATTAGTTCCAGAAGGCTTTTTTATTTGTTTCATTTTTAAAATCCTCACCTGAAGATATTTTTCCATTGATTTGCAGACAAAGTGGAGGGAGGGTTGGTGGGTGGTGAGGGTGAGGGTGAGGGGAGAAACATTGATGTGAGAAAGACACATTAATTGATTGCTTCCTGCACACACTGGGGTCTGGAATTGAACCCACAACCAAAGTATGTGCCTTTGGGAATTGAACCCATGACTCTTTGGTCTGAGAGCCAATGTTCTGACTACTGAGCAACCGGCCAGGGCCAGAAGGCTCTTTGAAAAGTGATTCGTTCCAAAACAAAATCTTTTTTTTTTTTTTTCATTAGAGAGTACTCACAGCACCGCGATATTAACACTGCAAGGTAAGCGGTAAGCTGACTCATATTCGCTCATTCTCATTTGTCACTTGTCAGGTCAAGAATGGAAGAAGTTTTGTTCGACAACCATGACATTATTTTCTGTGAACAACTTAGTTAAGAACTTAATTATTCAAGATGGGAGATATTAACTGCAGTTTGACTGTTTAAAAATTTTTTTAAATTAAAAGTGTGGCTCTCCTTAGACTGGACCTCTTGCCACTTTTGCTGAGGGCTTTCTGAGCTGGTACAGTCCTCCATTGGTGTGCGAATGGCTTGCCAATCCTGGTGGTAGCTCTTTTGCCATTTTCTTTAGGGATGTTTTTGATTTCTCTCAGTGTCCTGGTATGTGACCTCTGTTATCTGTGTGACAGTCATGTCAAGGTTATACCTGGAGATGCATCCTGAGAGCTTAGGAAACAGACACATCACCCAGCACCCTCAGCCTAGTGTGAGAAGCAGAGTGACTTTGAGAATTAATAGAGAAAGTATAGTTAGGGCACACCTCCAGGCCCCATAACTCAGCCTTATATAGGATGACGGGGGAATGAGGAAACAGAAAACAAATCTGTGTACACACTCTAAAGCCCATTTAATTTTCTGTAGGAGTGGTTGTTGGGGTGGAAGGAAGGCCTACAGTGCTTATCTGATAGGCCTGGTCTGGACGTGGATTTCGGTGGACTCTTCTCTTAAGTTCTCTGTCCTGATCTGCACTGAAGGGAACTGTGGCCGCCTGCTTTGAACCTGTTTCCACCCTCAGCACAGCACAGCACAAAGTGGCTGTTTACAATCCAGGGCCTGAAGGACAGTTCCACTGGAAATGAACTTGACCACACTTTGATATGATTTACAACGACAGAGGGTGCAGAGAGAGCTGTAGGGATCTGTGCAGCCTGATCACTCAGCTCAGGAGAAAGACCTCAGGGTTTCAAACCCAGCTGCACATGTGTGGCAAAGGCCAATCTCCACGGACATTTTGTACAAGTATCTGGTAGAGCAGTCTTCTTCTCACACTAACAATGGAGGTAAGTTAGGAGGGAATAGCTGACCAGAGAAAACGTCATAAAAGGACCTGCATGTCATGGTGGTGAGCTCTGATTTTCTTAGTACGCTGTTTGGGCCTCAGCCCTGTGAGGTCATTTGAATGAGAGATGGAAAAGACCTCCTGTACTAGTCATTCAGCCCAGCCCCTCCAGAGCCAGTTGACCCTTTGGTATACTTTCCAAAGCGCTGTCCAGTTTTTCAAGTGATTCAACTGATGGAGTTTCCACCAGCTCCCAGAGGGTGCAGAAAGGTGGTGCCTGGGCTGGATAGCCCAGTTATGATCTACTGGTGTCTCAGGATAAAGAGCCAGTGAAGATGCTGTGTTTGGAGAGATGTGGGGTAGTCCTGCCTCTGCCACCAACCTACGTGTGACTGCATAGATGACCTCAGCTCTGCTCGTCCCTGTCCCTTCCACAGATGGGGTGGCACTGGCGCCTGCAGCTTAGTGTGCTGAGGCGTGGCTGTGGTACCACACAGCACCTCATAGTTTTCACATTTGTAACCTCATTGGAGCCTCAGCATTCCTGGCTGCTTTTATTATCCTTCTGGCCATCATCCTGCCTTGACTCTGTTTCTTGTTAACCTGACGAAGCAGTCCCCCCAGGCAGTGGGTGGTGGCCAGGTGATCAGGCATTCTTGTGATTCTCAGTGTAGAGCTGCCATGTGACAGCTCAGGTACCATCCCCGCCTCCTGACACTGTATGGGGCCATTCACTCTGGACCACCTGGTGGGACCCGGGGCTGATGTCATTGTGGGGCATGATGTATTGTCAAACATACTAGAGGCTTGGTGCATGACATTCATGCACTGGGGAGGAGGGGTTCCCTCAGCCCAGCCTGCACCTTTTTGCAGTCTGGGACCCTTTGTTGGATATCCCCTGAGGGGTCCTTAGCGCTTCTATGGAGGCAGGGTTCCCACCACCGCTGCTGTGGTGCTTGCCAGCTATGAGCCCTGGCTTCTGGCTGAGTTGCATTTCCCCTGTGGGAGTACACTGACCACCAGGGGGCAGCTCCTGCATTGAGCGTCTGCCCCCTGATGGTCAGTGCAACATCATAGCAACCAGTTGTCCCACTGTTCAGTTGATTTGCATATTAGGGTTTTATTATATAGGATTGGACTTGGGGTCTTTTGGGGTGATCGTCCAGGCTGACAACTGCTGACATCCATCTCTATGTTACATGGCAGTTGATCCCCTGGGACGAGCAAGGCTCCACAGTCTCTCATACTGCTATTCTGTGTGCCTGCTGCTTCGCCTAACCTGTGATTGAAAGTTTCCCTAAAAGAGGGAAACTTTATAGCAAGTAGTTTATCATTTATAGCAAGTAGTTGGTCATCATAATTTCTCTTTTGTCAGCTTGAGAATATTAAAGGTTTCAATCCAGGCTCAAGTAAGAATATAGTTAAAGTACATTTCACAATGCAGTTTGTCTCAGTAGACTTGTGATAAAATGGCCACTCTTACTGGTTTACCACTCTTACTAGTATGAAGGCTGACATGCATGAGTCACAAGTGGGGGAGGGCCCTCAGTGCAACCTCCACCCTGTGGGTGCCCACCAGCCTCCCCTGTGGCATTGCTGTGCTTTGTGGCATTTCTGTGCCCTCTGTGTCCTCACCGTGGTCCCTCTCTACCTCCTGGAGCCCCAGGCCTGTGCTTCCTGGTTAGTTCCCTTGTTTCTCAGTTTCTCAGGCTCGGGGCATGGAGTCGGGGGTTGGGAGAGTTGTGCTATGTGATTTGAATTATTAGTACTATGTTCTATTCTGCCTTTTGTATTTGTATGTGAAATATTTCAAACACACAGACAAAAGGATTTTGCTTTTCTTTTTACATATTGTTTTTTGAGCTTCAGTGTTCAGTTAGGTACTTGGGTGCAAACAGGTAATGAACATAATGATTGGGCAGGAGCTGGAACTTGGATCCTGGTTGTTGGCCCAGCTCTCTGGTTCTCCTGTGTCTGTCGCCCCTCTCCTACCGCTGGAATTCCTCATGAATGTGGTAAGGCACCGGTGACACAGCATACTGTGGGCTGGAACAGTAATGCCCCAGGGACTTGAGGTCAGACTGCTGCCCGTGCCTGGAGCAAGGCCAGGGGCAAATGCATCATCTTCCAACAGCTCTCCAGTCAGCGGCAGAGCCGAGCTGAGACCCACACCCAAGCTCTGGCTTGGCTCCATCGTGGGACAGAGGGTGGGTTATCCCCACTGACTTACAAAATTCCTAAAGCATTATAAGAATGGGGGAAAGAAGTATTATCCGTTTTGAGAGTTTAAGGAAAGTAAGCCCCTCCTGTCTCTGTGCCTCTCTCCAGATCCTTGGGAAGCTGAAGGGTCTTGCCTTGGATGCCGAGGCAGAGCTGGAGAGACAGGACGAGGCCCTGGATGGCATCGCCACTGCCGTGGACCGGGCAACCTTAACCATTGACAAGCACAATCGACGAATGAAAAAACTGACTTAGAAGGACAGAGAGGGTAGAGGTGAGAGCTTCTGATGAGAATCGCATCTCAGTATGTTGTCCTCAACCCCTGCATGCTGCCTTCCGGTGACAACCACAGGAGGCCATTCTCAGGGCCAGAGGAAACTTGTGGTCCTGCCTTTGAGGCATACCTGCCTCAGGACAAAGGCTGCTGTGAAGGTTCTGGGCAGCCACGGAGGGAGGGGTCCTCTGCAGGCCCTGAAGGTGCAGCTGCAGGAGAGGAGTTCTGCCTGTGGACACAGCAAACGGCACCCCGCCAAGGCCCCTCGAGCTGCTGGTGCGTCAACAGCACCCACGCACTCCAGCACGTGGCTGAGCCCTGGGGAGCCCTGCACAGCTGCGTGCTGGCTCTCCATTCAGAGGCTGGTCTGCACCCAGCACTGAGGAACCCCTTTGCATGGTTTCTTCCCAGGTCTCCAGCATCACCAGTAGCTGCATTATTATCCTTTCTCCACGCTTTTTGGGCGAAAAAGAAAGATGTAAGCCTCTGTGAATAAAATCTGCTTTTTTTCCCACTGCGGGTCTAAACACTGCAGGTGTACCTTGTATCGGCACAATCCCTCCTCCAGGACCACATGCCTGAGCCTGCTCCCCTCTGTGGGCCGCTAAGCAACCCACCACCCTCACTTGTTCCATCTCTCTGGTAGGCAGGCCAGTTTCTTTTTGGTTGTATTTTCATTTTCTAACTGAAGCTGAGAGTCTAGCATACCTTAAGTTCATCATATACTAGTTAACACCTGACATACTATTTCACTGCCCAGTTTTTAGCCAAAGGTGAAAATAGTTCATATTGCGCCTGTTTAAAAGGTTTTGATTTTTGCTTTTACTGCCCCATTTCTATCCAGAAACAAAAGAAAAATGCTAGTGTTAGGATTTTTTGTGGAGATACACATTGATGCTGCTTTTTGCTTGGTTTGGAGTCCGTGAGCGGCCCCTTGGGGGATGAGGGGAAAGTGGAGGATGGTGCATCTCACAGACCGCTTTGAAAGAGCATCCTGGGAGGCTGTCCACAAAAAGGCTCCTTAAATCTTGAGGAGTGTCTGCAGTTTCTGGGACGGCTAGGCCCTGTGCTGCTATGTTCGGGTCCTGGGTGGGTTCAGCAAACTGCCCTGGGCAGTACTAGATTTCTGAGCAGACCTCAGCAAGTCCACACAGTATACAGCAACTGGAGTGTGCTCTCCAGATCTGGAGGCCAGAAGTATAAGGTCAGGATGTTGCAGGGCTATGCTCCCTCCTGGGGCACTTAGAAGCTTCCAGTAGCAGAAAATCTTTCTTGAGTTGATGACTCGAGGTCAAAACACAGAAACCTACCCATTTAAACCCATTAACAGTCACTAAGCTGAGGCAAAAGCACCAAAAACCTTGACTCTAAGAACTCACACAGCCCCTGCTCCCCACCCAAGTGCTCACTTCTACCTCCCACTGCTTCCCACCCCAGGTGCACCAACTCCCCCTTTCCTGGCCCCTCCACACCAGATGCATGAATCTTTCTTACCCCCCACCCCCCACCTAGTAGCACAAATTCCAATTCCTTAGACTAGCACATCCATGGCAATGCAACTTCACCTTCAGTGCTCCCACTGCCAGTTCTGTGTCTTCATCTTCACTGTCCCCCTTACCTGGTGCACTGTCTTCACCTTACACTTCCACCCTAGGGAATTACATGAGGAGAGTGGACCTTAGGATGCTCAGATGCTAGACCGGAGAAAGGAGATCAGCAGGCAGCCTGGTGATCTCTTGCATCCAGGTAGCACGTGTCCTGATGGCTCCCACCGAGTGGATCAGGTCATTAGACCCTCTGGAGCCACCATCATCATCATTCGTCGGCATAGAGCAGGGTGTCTCCATCCTGCTTTCCCTCTCCCGAGTTGGAGCTTACCCACTGACACTGACGTCGGGCCTGTGTGCGGGGCTGAGCTCTCTACATGCATCATTCCTGCACCAAAAACTGTCTGCATTTTACCCTGTATTTTGTCAGATTGTTGTCATCCTGTAAGGTGTTTGCAGTTCCTAAAACTTAATGTGAGCTCAGTTACTCTCTATGAAGGTAGACACAGTGCAAGTCCTTCGAATGCAACTAAATGAAACGGCTCTGACATTTCATCAAAAAAGGCAGATTCTTTTGGGACCGCTTTGGCTCAGTGGATAGAGCGTCAGCCTGCGGATTGAAGGGTCCTGGGTTTGATTCCGGTCAAGGGCATGTACCTTGGTTGTGGGCACATCCCCAGTGGGGGGTGCACAAGAGGCAGCTGATCGATGATTCTCTCTCATCGATGTTTCTAACTCTCTATCCCTCCCTCTTCTTCTCTATGAAAACTCAATAAAAATATATTTAAAAAAAAAAAAAAAAGGCAGATTCTGCCCCACTGTTGTTGCTCAGTGATTGAGCGTCAACCAATTTGGTCACAGTTTGATTCCTGGTCAGGGAACATGCCTGGATTGCAGGCTCAGGGATGTCCAGGAGGAAGCTAGTCAATGATGTTTCTCTCTCATCCATGTTTCTCTCTATCCCTTCCCCTTCTTCTCTATCCTCTCCCTTCTTTTCTCTCTAAAAATCAATAAAAAATGGGGACGATTCTTTTGTTAGCTGAGGACAGATGTCAGCAGACTTTCTGTAAAAGTACAGGAAAAAACTGCTTCATCTTTTGAGCCATATTGGTGCCTGTCACGACATCTTAGGTCTGCTGTTTATGTGAAGATGACCTGGACTTGTGAGCAATGGGTATGCTGGTTTCAATAAAACTACCTGGGAAATTGGAATTCCACGTGTCACAAAATGTTATTCTTGTTTTGATTTTCTTTCAACCAGGGAAAATTCAAGTAGGTCCTTGACATGCAGGCCACAGGGGAGCAGGCTGCTATGCTTGCTCACCAGCCCAGCAGGTGTGATCTCCAAGGCTACAGCCACAGTTCAGCAATGTCTGTCCTGGAGGGCGACTCACTGCCCCTCTTAGCCCCAAACGGAAGAGTGGCCTGAGCCCTCGGCATGACACTGCTGCCAATGCCAGTGCCAATCCAGTTTTGCGGGTGGGAGGCCTTCAACTCATTCTCTGTCTGTGCTTAGCTGTCCGGAGCTTTGCAGATATTTGGTCCCATTCCTGTTAAAGGCAGAGCTTGGAATAGGGGCACAGTGGAGGTGGGGGAGGGCAAGATGAGGAAAGACCTGTGCTGGTTTTCACAAGTGATCTTCCCTGGATGCCCCAAATCAGCACACAGAAATTTCAGGAGAGAAGAAAAAACAAAAAACCATCAGTCCTTGAGCTATTTCCAAAAACCACAGAAAACTCAACTGTATGCAATCAGGGTGGGGGTTTGACTTGGTTTGGGGTTGGGTGAAATGCCCTCCAGGAGGCAGCTGTATTGGTTGAGACATTTACCCTGGCGTGAGACCACTTTACAAGGAGGCCCCTCCAAGGCCCACAGCCTCACCTGGGAGGAGCCCCCTCCCCTTTCACTGCTGCCAGTTTAATTATTAGCTGTAGGTTTTAGTAAAACTTGAAAGACACCCAAATTGTAGTTAGGTTTCACATTTGCAACTGATCTCCACATCCACATATTTCCAGCTTTTGGCATCCTTTTGGAAATGTGGGGTAGCAATGGGCTTGTTGAGGAGGCAATTTTCTCTGATTCATTTTGAAAGTGAAAAGCCACAGGGCTGGTCCTCCAGCTCCTCTGAAGGCAAGGGTGGTCCTGCTTCCCAGAGGATCATTTGGTCTCATCCTCTCCTCAGCTTCCTCAGTGAGAAGCAGGCCTGTGAGGTAGAGTGGGGAAGCATCCATTCTCAGGCACCAGGAGCTGCTTGCCGCTGGGAGAGCCACAGAGGCCCATGTATAGTTTCTAGAGTGAAGGCCATTGAGCCTGGACACAGAGACCTGGGCTACAGGGCCAGGACCTAGGAGCAAGACTGGCTCAAGGCTGTGCTGTATGGCCCGGACTGCACAATCCAAGGCTCCTGCGGATATAGGCACTAATCCTGAAGCTGTGGCTGCCAGCCTATCACACACAGCTGCTGCCCTAAGGTATCAGTATCACAAGATCCTCTAGCAGGTCTCCCATTGAGTCTTAAGCAACACCTGCTCCTCAGTGCCCTTGAATTTTATTCACCATCTCTTATCCCCATCTCTGCCCCTTCCTATCAGTCTGCAGGCTGAGGTGGTCCCTGGAGGCTTTGAGGCTTTGCCTGATCTAATTGGTCAGAAACAGTGTTTTATACTGTCCTGCACTAGAAATTGAGAGAAGGAGATCTATGTAATGCATAGTCACAAATTCAAACAGGTAGCCAAAAGGAGACAAAGAAATAACCTGCAAATGAAAGAACAAAAGAATTCTCCAGAAGAAGAGCTAAATGAAATGGAGATAAGAAATTTATCTGATATAGAGTTCAGAAGTAAAGATGCTCAACAGCATGAGAAAAATATAGGAACTATGAAAGCATAAAGAATGACACAGCGCAAATAAAGAACACATTGGAAGGAATACACAGTAGACTAGAGGAAGATGAAGATCGAATCAGTGAATTAGAAGACAAGGTTGAAAAAACTCAGAGAACCATAAAGAAGAAAAAAACAATTAAAAAATGAGAAGAGCTTAAGGGAGCTGTAGAACAACATGAAATTCGAATATCATGTTTGCCAGAAAAGGCAGAAAGGGAGAGAGGGATAGAGAACATGTTTGAAGAAATAATGGCAGAAAACTTCCCTGACCTGGTAAAATCAAGGGGAGGGAAGTGTGCCTTCTGCTCAAGCAGGGTCATGTTTCCTAGATGAGTACAGGGCTCGTGCCCATAGTATGTTTGCAGAAGCCCAGCTGGATGCAAAGGAGGGTTTGGGCCTGGTGGGTGTCCCTGGATGAGCACCAATAACTTGAGGCTGCTCCCTTGGGGGGTTTACTCCTCATAATATCAATGCCCCACTGCCTCAGTGCTCGTTTTGTTCCATGTCCAGCACATGCAGCTGCTGCTGGGAAGTTAATGAGGCCAGCCC